CTTCATTCTAGAGGCAGGAGCAGGACATGGAGAAGGGCTGGAGCTCTGCTTTTCATGGAATTGGAGCCTCAGTCCAGAGGCAGGACACAGGGAAGAGCTGAGGTTCTGTTTTTCATGGAATGTTGAATTGGAATTTGGAGCTTCACTGTGGGAGCAGGACACAGGGAAGGGCTGGAGCTCTGTCTGGAGCTGGGAGGGCTGGGATGGAGAGCAGGGAAAGGGGCGTTTTTCATGTCTTCATTTCTGTCTTTGTGAGTCTGACGTGCTGAAGGAGGGAGCTGAGCTGGTGTTTTCTGGGGGACAGAAAACACCCAGAGATTATTCTAAAGTGGAGGACTGGGGGCCCATCCTGAACAGGCTCCCCGGGACACAGGGATGGAGGATTCTCCTGAGACCCCCACCTGCAGAGCTGGCCCAGCCCTGGAGCCCCCAAAATCAAGGATTTGGAGCTGCTGGAGCCAGTCCAGAGGAACCCCCGGAGCTGCTGCAGGGCTGGAGCCCCTCTGGAGCCAGGCTGGGAGAGCTGGGGGTGCTCCCCTGGAGAGGAGAAGGCTCCAGGGAGAGCTCAGAGCCCTGGCAGGGCCTGAAGGGGCTCCAGGAGAGCTGCAGAGGGACTGGGGACAAGGATGGAGGGACAGGACACAGGCAATGGCTGCCACTGCCAGAGGGCAGCCATGGATGGGATTTTGGGCAGAAATTCATTCCCTGGTGCTTCTCCAGGCTGCTCCAGGGAGCTGATGGTTCTGCCCCCACTCACCCCTGCTGTTCCCATGCTGTCCTGGTCTCCCCTATTCCCCAAATTCCCTATTTAAGGAAGTTCCAACTCCCTATTTCTTTCTTTGTGTGAACAGAACCCCAAAATCAGCCCCTCCTTCCCACCAGTTTCTCCCATTTGCAGCATCCAGGACCTTCCCTATCCCTAACTGCACTTGCTGCATTTAAAATCCCTTTTCCAGAGGGACATTTGGGGAACGCTGATGAATCTGGGAACTTGTGGAGGCAGGGTCATGTGTGGCCAGGTGATGGAGGGCAAGAAAATTCCCATTTTACAGGAAATTACTTATTTTGGCTTAGCACATGCAAAGGGTGGGTTTGAAGCCCAGATTTCCCACGTCCCATTCCCACCCCTCAGCAGATCCAGCACCCGTGGCACCCCACTCTGGGTTTGATCTGGGACCCTGTACTGGGATTGATCTGGGACCCTGTACTGGGATTGATTTGGGATCCTGTACTGGGATTGATCTGGGACCCTGTACTGGGATTGATCTGTTCTCACACTGGGATTGATCTGGGACCCTGTACTGGGATTGATCTGTTCCCACACTGGGATTGATCTGGGGCCCTGTACTGGGATTGATTTGGGATCCTGTACTGGGATTGATCTGGGATCCTGTGCTGGGATTGATCTGTTCCCACACCGGTGCTGATCTGGGACCCCATACTGGGACTGGCCTTTTCCCACCCCGTTGGTGTTAAATTCAGCAGATTTGGGGTTTGACTCCGTTTCTGCCCAGCATTTGAGACCACCCTGCCCCAGCATGGCCCCAAGCCACCAGGGGCACGGGCACTTGAACTTAGGGGCATTAGAGCTCTTCGGGTGTCTCTGAGCTCTTCACTGCCTCGTTTACCTGGTGCTGCCTGTGGAGCTCGTCAGCCGCAGGTTTGGGGACAAACACGGTTAAACAAAGGAGATCAATCCAGTTGTGCTGTTGAATTCAGCACTGAGCGTTGCACTCAGGCTGCAGGGGAAGGCGAGCGAGCCCAGGCTCGGTGTTTGCTGCTGTGGAGCTCGTCAGCCGCAGGTTTGGGGACAAACACGGTTAAACAAGGGAGATCAATCCAGTTTGTGCTGTTGAATTCAGCACTGAGCCTTGCACTCAGGCTGCAGGGGAAGGGCAGCGAGCCCAGGCTCGGTGTTTGCTCCCCCAGACTCCTGCGGGTCCGGGCTCAGCCCTGGCACCGCTCGCACCCCGAGGTGCTCGGGAATGGGATCGGCTGTCACCCGGAGCCCCGGGCCCGGCGGGGTGACAGAGGGGACACGGCCCGGGAGGGACACGGGCCCGGCCTCGCTGCTCCTGAGCACAGCTGGTGCTGGCTGCTGGAGAAGGGGTGTGAAGGGACCTGCCACCTCAGCCCGACCTGCCACCTCAGCCGGGTGCCCTGTGCCACCCCGTGCCGAGGGGACACGAGGGGACCGGAGCTGCCGCTATCACCGCGGCCGCAGGGGGACAAGGCCCCGCTGGCAGCGCCCTCCGCCCGCCCCCAGCTCCCCCTGAGGGGTCCCACAAACCCCCGCCACCCTTCAGGGGCCACCCCTGGGGTGCCGCGCCTCGGTGGGGACCCGCGGGGACCCTGCGGCCCTGGCCCGGCCCTGCAGGGGTGGCGGCGGCCACGGCGGGGCGGTGCAGGCCCAGCAACGGGCCCCGTGTGGGGACAGCGCCTGCCTGGGGAGCCTGTGTGGGGACAACAGCCCTGACTGGGGACACTGTGTGGGGACAACAGCCCTGCCCGGGGACAGCTCCCTGCCCCAGCTCCCTGCCTCGGGACCCCGTGTGGGGACAGCGCCTGCCTGGGGACAGCTCCTGCCTCGGGACCCTGTGTGGGGACAGCAGCCCTGACTGGAGACACTTCTCTGCCTTGGGACACTGTGTGGGGACAACAGCCCTACCTGGAGACCCTGTGTGGGGACAGTTCTTGCCTCGGGACCCTGTGTGGGGACAACAGCCCTGCCTGGGGACACCCCGGCACCGGGACCCCCGTCCCTGGGACCTCCCCAGCACCGGTGGCCCCCTGCTCCTCGATCCCTCCCCTGCATGGGACCCCCCTGTTTCCCCGGACCCCCCTGCCTTGTGACACCCCCGGTGTCCCTGGGACATCTCCCATTGTCCCTGAGCCCCCTCGGTGTCCCTGGGACTCCCAAAGCCACCTCCTATCCCCGGACCCCCCTTTCTCCCGGACCCCCCATGGCCCCAGGGACGCCCCCGGACCCCCTCTCTGGGACCCCCCTGCTCCGGGGCCACCCCACTGTCCGGGGATCCCCCCTTCTGGGATCCCCCCCGGTGTCCCTGGGTTGTCCCCGGGACCCCTTTGCACCCCCAGTCCCGGGGACCCCTCCCCACCTTTCCCTGGGTTTTGCCCCCCCCCCCCCCCCCCTCTCCCCCCCTCTTTAAATTCACCTAAACGGCCACGGCGGGGCGGTGCAGGCCCAGCAACGGGCCCCGTGTGGGGACAGCGCCTGCCTGGGGAGCCTGTGTGGGGACAACAGCCCTGACTGGGGACACTGTGTGGGGACAACAGCCCTGCCCGGGGACAGCTCCCTGCCCGGGGACCCTGTGTGGGGACAACAGCCCTGCCCGGGGACAGCTCCCTTCCTGGGGACCCTGTGTGGGGACAACAGCCCTGCCTGGGGACCCTGTGTGGGGACAGCAGCCCTGACTGGAGACACTTCTCTGCCTTGGGACACTGTGTGGGGACAACAGCCCTACCTGGAGACCCTGTGTGGGGACAGTTCCTGCCTGGGGACCCTGTGTGGGGACAACAGCCCTGCCTGGGGACCCTGTGTGGGGACAGCGCCTGCCTGGGGACAGCTCCTGCCTCGGGACCCTGTGTGGGGACAACAGCCCTGCCTGGGGACACCCCGGCACCGAGACCCCCGTCCCTGGGACCTCCCCAGCACCGGTGGCCCCCTGCTCCTCGATCCCTCCCCTGCATGGGACCCCCCTGTTTCCCCGGACCCCCCTGCCTTGTGACACCCCCGGTGTCCCTGGGACATCTCCCATTGTCCCTGAGCCCCCTCAGTGTCCCTGGGACTCCCAAAGCCACCTCCTACCCCCGGACCCCCCTTTCTCCCGGACCCCCCATGGCCCCAGGGACGCCCCCGGACCCCCTCTCTGGGACCCCCCTGCTCCGGGGCCACCCCACTGTCCGGGGATCCCCCCTTCTGGGATCCCCCCCGGTGTCCCTGGGTTGTCCCCGGGACCCCTTTGCCCCCCCAGTCCCGGGGCCCCCCCCCCACCTTTCCCTGGGTTTTGCCCCCCCCCCCTCCCACTTCTCACTCCTTCTATAAATGCACTTAAAAATAATTGATTTGGATTCTGCTAATTACAGGACAATTAAAACCCAATGGAGTCTCTCAGTGGGGGCCCCCAGAGCCCCCCGATGTTTCCCACTTCCCCTGGGTGTTCCTGAGTTCCCAGTCCCGGGGCAGTGGGAGGATCCTCAGGGGGGGATTTGTGGGGAGCTCAGTCCCTGCTCCCCCACCCCAAGGTTCAGCTCCATTTTTGGCCGGATTTGGCTGATTTTCCCTCCTTTGTCCCAGTAACCCCCCTGCCTCCCCAAGCCCCTCCCGGGCTGTATTTTGGAGGTAAATGAGGGGGTTCAGGAGAGTCCGAGTCTATTTTTAGGCCCCTGACAGGAAAGGAGGAATTCCACGCGTGTGGAAATGGCTCATTCCCATTCCATCCCAGCTCACCCGCAGCCACACCACCCCCAGGGGTGACCAAACCCCCGGAGCCACTCCCGGTACACCTGGCAGGTGTGGAGGTCACCGTCATGGCCCCTCTGATCCCACTGCCATCCCGGGTTTTGAACGGGGAAACTGAGGCCGGATCAGCGCCCCAAACCCACCACCCCGTCTGTCCGGCAGTGATTCCCGGACTGCCCGAAGGTTTTCCCCTCCCATCCATCCCTAGGTACCCCCAGATGTCCCGGACACCACGCTGGGTTCCCCCATCTAATCCTGGGTGCCCCCAGACCCTCTGATGTCCCCCCGGCTCTCCCCGATCTGCCCCAGATCCCCCCACACAGCCCGGGCTTGCCCCAGTGCACTCCTTCACCCATTCCAGTGCACCCCAGCCCCTTCCACCTGCCCCAGATCCTCCCCATCTGTCCCTGGTCGCGCCCAGTCTGCCTCGGGTGCCCCCTTCCCATCAGGCTCCCCCCTTTAACCCACGCCCCACCTAATCTACCCCAATCCCCCCTTATGCCCCCACTTAGCCCGCACCCACCGCCCGCCTCCCGCGGGCGGCGGCAACAAAGGCCCTTCCCCGCCCCCGCCGCCGCCTCCCGCCGCCGCCGGCAGCGTCCTTGCGGCAGGAAGATGCCCGGGGAGGTGCCGCCGCCGGCGCCCCGGGGGCTGCGGAGCCTCCCGCTGCTGCTGCTGCTGCTGCTCAGCGCCCGCGCCGCGCTGGTGAGTGCGGGGGCACCGGCGGGGGGCACGGCCCGGGGGACACCGGCACCGCCAGCGGGGCGGCGGGGACCGGCACCGAGCGGGGGGTGAGGGGAGGGATCGGCTTCGGCACCGGGAGGGGGCGGCGGGGACCGGAGCAGGGCGGGGGTCAGCGGGGACCGGCAGCGGCCCCGCGGATGAGCTGCCGTGGGCAGGGGGGAGGGACCGGCCCCGGCACCGCGCGTGGATCGGTTCCGCGGGGAACGGGGGTGTGTGCGGCGGCACCGGCACCGTGCGCGGGCCGGCCGCGGGCAGCGGCGCCGGTCCGGAACCGGCCTCGGTACCGTGCGCGGATGGGCAGCGGGCGGGGGGCGTGGGGCCGGCAGCGGTACCGGGCGGGGACCGGCACCGTGCGGGCTCTGGCAGCGGCAGCGGGCGGGGGAGCGGCACCGCCGGGGAGCGGCACCCGGCTTGTGGGGTGTCCCAGCTCCCCAGGGGCTCCGCTCCCCGCACCCTGCCCCGTGGCCGCCCCTCGGTCCGCAGAGCCCCCCCGAGCCCAGCAGGGGCTGCCCCCGGGGCTGTCCCTTCCCCTGCGACCCCCCGGGCGGTGCCGGGCAGGGTGGCGGCCGTGGGGAGGGGGCTGCGGGCAGCTGCCGTTTGAAGGTCGTAGGGAAACACGCCTTGAAAACCACCCTGAGGGGCGGAGAGGGAGGAACCCCCCTGCTGCTGCTCGGGGGCAGCAGGAACTTGCCCCCCCAATGCCTCCCCCTCCCCTGGAGCATCCCCAGCCCCGATGGGGCGGGGGGCGGCAGACGCAGCCCGGGCTGCGCAGGCAGCGCCCGCTCTTCCCCCTCCGTGAGGCCGGAGGAGAAGGGGCCGGGGGTGCTCGTGGCGCTTCCAAAGCTGCTGCTCCCCGCCGGGATCCATGGATCCAAAGGATCCTGGGCTCCACGGGAACCTCCCTGCCCCGCCTGCTCCCTGCCCCGAGCCCGGCGTTGGAGTTGGGGCTCTGCTTTTTGGGGGATGCTCTCTGGGAATGAGCACGAGGCTGCTTTCCCCTCCCAGCTCGGGAGCAACGGGAGAGGGTGATGGGGAGGAAGGCTGCTCCTCCTCCTCCTCCCTTGAAGAGGGGAAGAAGCCCCAGGGCCTGGCTGCTGCATTGAATCCCCCGGAGCTCATCCCCCTCCTCCCGGGGCTCTGGTTTGGGGGTGCCCCGGGCTGGCTCGCCCATTTCTGCACCAGGGGCGTTCTCCCAGCAGCAGCTCTGCCCCTCTGGAGCAGAGACACAACTTCAGCGTCTCTGAGGGGACGTGAGCCGCTCCTCCAACGCCTCTGGCCAACCTGCCCGGCCGCGGGCTCCAAGGGCACTTCATCCAGCCCATGTTCCCTCTGCCATGGATCCGGGGAAGGCTCTGCTCTGCCGGGAGCTCCCTCCGTGCCCGGTGGCCGCGGTGCTGAGCGGTGAGTGTGGCTGTGCCGGTGTCCCCAGCACCCCTGGGGGTGTGGGGGCGGCCCTGGTGTGCTCATCCCCCCCAAATGAGCTTTTCCCCTTCGCTTTTGGGGAGTTGGAGTTGCTGGTTACTGGATGAGGCTGTTGTTGACGTTTCCCGGGGGGATTTGGCCCTTTGGGGACGGCTGTGGGGTTGCTCAGTGCTGCGCTGGAGGTGATGGGATGTGGGATGCTCCCAAGGGCTGGAGGAGCTGCTGCCTCCACCTGGATGGGACCGAGGCCTCTCCTCTCCTCTCCTCTCCTCTCCTCTCCTCTCCCCCTCTCTTCCCTCTTCAGTCCTTCGTTCTCCTTGGACAGACTCAGCTCCTCCCCTGGGCCACCGGGAGGGAAGCAGTGGCTTGGCACAGCTCCGGCCCATCCCTGACGGCGGGGTGGGGATGGATTTGGGGATCCCTGCTCCCCCAGTGCCGGACCCTGGCCCCTGCCAGGGAGCCTTTCCCTGGAGCAGCGCCGGGAGCGGTCCTGGCTGCTCGGAGGAGCCGGGATGAGCGATCCAGCCCCGCAGGCACCGCACCCCTGAGCTCGGGGCTGGGTCCCTGTGCCCGTCCCAGGGGAGCAGGGGACAGGGGCAGGGCACGGCTGCGGCTGCGACACCTCCCCGGGACTCGATGCCTCCCTTTGATCTCCTGCAGTCCGTGACCCCTCTCGGCTTTGGGGAAGCTGGGATGGATCCCCTTGGGATCAGTCCCTGTAACCCTTTACGTGCCAGCGTGGGAGAGCTGGGGGACAGGGGCTGCTCCTCCTGGCGGGCTCCATCCCTGCCAGAGGGGTTTCCCACCGGTGCCGTGGACAGGTTTGGGTTCGGCTGTGATTTCCCAAGGCTCCTCCCTGGTCCTGCCTCATCCCTTTGGAGCTGGATATGGACCACACCAAGAGAGGGTGAGGGACAGCCAGGCTCCTGCATCAGCCCTTCCCGGGGCAGGGACGGGCTCAGCCCCTCTGGTTCACCCCAGATTCCCAGGAGAGGCTCCTCTCCGGGCAGGGGGTGTGTGCAGCCAGCCCTGAGTGTCCCCCCAGCTCTGGGGCTCCCAAGGTTGGGTCAGGCTGCTTTGTTGTGGCCCTGGCTGCTGTCAGAGCCCAGCTTAGGGATGAACTCATCAGCTTAATTACCGAGAGTGTTGATTGGCCCTAACCTTTCCCAGGTTCCTGGAGCATTGCTGGGGCCAGCCAGATCCTGGCTCCCCGTGCAGGAGACTGGGGGAGCTCTGGATTTACTCCGGGGTTGTTTCACTGTGTAAGGGATTCCCTTGCTCCCTGCCACCCTCCAGGTCCTCCCTTGGCTCAGTCCAGAGCGATAATGAGGGTCTCAGCCCCCAGAGAGGCCCTGCAGGGTTTTGGGGTGAAGCACCTCCTGCCCTTAGGGATCTGGGGCAGTTCAGCTCCTCACAGCTCCGGGTCCCACCAGGGCTGGGGTCACAGGACACCCTCATTCCTGTGATGTTTTCAGGTGCTTTGGGCTCAGCAGCTCCCTGGTTTCCAGCCTGGCCTCAGGGCCATGGGGGAGGATCTCTGCTGAGCTTTGGGGGTGCTCTGGGGTTTGCTGTCATGGGTTTGCAGGGCTCAGCCCGGCCCCCAGGTGGGTTGGAGTTCCCTGGTGTGAGCTGGAGTCACCCAGGGTCCGGCCCAGCCCCATTTGTAGGGACAGCCCAGTTCTCCCAGTCCAGCTGTGCTCAACCCCAGCTCCTTCCTCCTTCGTGGAGAAACTGAGGAAAAAAAATTCAATAAATAAAGGAATGGGTCCACAAGGGATGCACGGTCCTCTGGCCACTGTCACCTCCTACCCCTGCCTGGGAGCAGTGGCAGTGAAGTCCCCGGCTGTCCCCAGGGCTCCTTTCCCTCGGGAGATGTGCGGCAGCCCCGGGAGACGGCAGCGGGGGCTGGGGAATGCCGGTCCCGGGAACGTGAGCCGGGTACCAAACCCTGCCGGGCCCGGCGGGGCTCTGGGGAGCGGGCACTCCTCCCTTCCCGAGCCCTCGGAGGCTTTAACCCGGCTCGGGTGGGTTCTGTCCCCGTGTCCCGGTCCCTCCCGGCTCTCCCGGAGCTGCGGCCGGTCCCAGCCTCGCCTCCCGCCCGGCTCTGGGTGGGTTTTGCCGCTGTTCTGCTCCTGGAGCCTCAGCCCCGGCGCTCTCGGTGCTCGGGAGACGGGGAGCGGGGATTTGGAGGGAGAACCCCCCTGCAAATGCGGCTGGGCTCTTCTGGGAGCGCGGGGATGTGCTCCCTGCATCCTCCCTTCCCTCCTCATCCTCCCCAGCCAGCTCGAGGCTCGGGAGCTGCTGGAGAAGGGTTTCCCCTCAGGAAGGGGCCGTGGCCCTGCCCGGTGTCCCCTCGGCCCCGCTGCTCCCTGCCGGGCTCCGGAGCCACCGCCCGGCTGTGGAGGGAGGAGCGGAGCCTTCCCCGTGCTCCGTGCCATTCCCGGCTTCTCCCTCTTGTTTTGTACCAATTCCCACTTTCCCACCCATGGTTTGTGCCATTCCCAGCTTTTCCACCCCTATTTTGAGCCATTCCCAGGTTTCCGTGTTTTGTACCATTCCCATCTTTTCCACCTGAGTTTTGTGCCAATCCCAGCTTCCCCCCCTTGTTTTGTGCCAATCCCATCTTCCCACCCGTGTTTTCAGCCATTCCCAGTTTCCCCCCGTGTTTTGTGCCGTTCCCTGCTCCCTCCAGGCTCCAGCGGTCCCTCCCCTCCCTCCCTCCCTGGCCCGGCTCCGAGGGGAGCGGAAGTTTTCTCCCGTGTTTTGAGCCATTCCCAGTTTTCCCCCATGTTTTGAGCCATTCATTCCCAGTTTTCTCCCGTGTTTTGTGCCGTTCCCTGCTCCCTCCAGGCTCCAGCGGTCCCTCCCCTCCCTCCCTCCCTGGCCCGGCTCCGAGGGGAGCTTCATTCCCAGTTTTCTCCCGTGTTTTGTGCCATTCCCATCTTTCCCACCGGTGTTTTGTGCCATTCCCAGTTTTCCCCCGTGTTTTGAGCCATTCATTCCCAGTTTTCCCCCGTGTTTTGCGCCATTCCCAGTTTTCTCCCGTGTTTTGAGCCATTCCCAGTTTTCCCCCATGTTTTGAGCCATTCATTCCCAGTTTTCTCCCGTGTTTTGAGCCATTCCCATCTTTCCCACCCGTGTTTTGAGCCATTCCCGGTTTCCCACCCATGTTTTGAGCCATTCCCAGTTTCCCACCCATGTTTTGAGCCATTCCCAGTTTCCCCCCGTGTTTTGTGCCGTTCCCTGCTCCCTCCAGGCTCCAGCGGTCCCTCCCCTCCCTCCCTGGCCCGGCTCCGGGGGGAGTGGAGCTGGAACCGGGAGCTTTGTGCAGCCACTCCTCCCTCTCTCCCCGTTAATTAATTTGACATTTAAGCCCAGCTCCTCGTGCAGAGCTCTCGGTGAGCTCCGGAGCAGCTCCAGGATGGGAATTCCAGCTGGGAGGGAGGGATGTGGTTGGATCCAGGCAGAGGAGGCTCCTGGGGTGCAGCATCTGCCCCCCAAACTCTGTTTTGGGGCCTTCTGTGGTCAGGAAGGAGTGG